TTTTTCTAAGAGTTGGAGTTCTAATGAAATCCGAGAGCTGTACCGGTTTGCAAGTTGGTTGATTAGTGGCAGATCCCTTGGCAACAAAAAACTACCCATTTGGTAGTCTTTTAACATAGTCATTTTTAGCAAACTCAGCCTAAATTTTTCAAAAGGCGCCTTTGGTTATAATATATGTTAGTGTTGAGGGGGGAGCTTGAACTGAAAAAGTAAATAGAGTCTTCTAGCAGAGCTTAGAGTCTTCTCTCTCTCTCTCTCTCTCTCTCTCTCTCGCATGCTTGATGTTGCTTATATTGTAACCTAAAATGGCATTCACGTACCTTCAAGTAGAAAAAGTTAAAATCTGTGCCATTGTACAGTGCTGACAAGATTGCAGTAAAAAAGTTTTACCATTCTTAAGTTTCAACCAAGAATTTTAACACAATTTCATAAGTTATAATGTTGCATCAGAACATTTGTTATCATATTTGAGCATTTAGCGTGAAATCAGGTTTCAGTTATTGAGGTTGCAGTTATTGTCGGATTAAATCTAAATCTTAAGATTTTGAAAAAAAAATAATTTTCTTTTGTATTTCTTGGACATATTTGAGATCCAACGGAATTTTGATCTCTTGTCTTAAAAATAATAGGACAAAAAAGTTCATTAGCAAAAGTTTAAGCGGAGAAAAATATGTTTAAAAGCCATGTTATCTTATAATTTCTCGCAAAAGCTTTTCAGCATTTCAAATGACAATTATTGTTGTTAAACTTGATCTTATCTGATTCAATTAGCATGTCAGTTTTTGAGATAAAGTAACTCTACTAGTGAGAAACATTGGTACTTCATTTTTTCAAATCTCAATAAAATGTTTTTTCAAGCCTCATTCAGAATTTTTGGCGTTCCGTTATCAGCTTATTGTAAATTCAATTCGACGAGAGTAGATTAGAGTTTCTCCGCCATCAATAAATTGATACCATATTTGGAAACAAAATCTAAAACTTAGCTTTTGAATTATGATTTGTAAGTATTTCAATATGAATATATGGCTAAATACAGGTGGAATATCAGATTGTCTAAATATCCAAAAGCCGATAATTCCTCTGGTAGACAAAAACGGGTTGACCAAAAAAGTATAGAAATTTTCCTTTAAGAATCCTGCAACTTCTTACATAATAAGAAGTTCTAATATACGGAATTTATTTGAAGGATAGGCAACTTTCATTGTTCGAATTTGTTTTTTTTTCATTAAAAAATGTGCAGTTTTCATGTTTTTTTTTCGGATGTTGCCAAAATTGGATAATCGAAACGTCGGACGTTTGAGCTAGCATAGTTAAATATGATCATCATGAAAAAATCAGAATATTTAATCCTCATTGAGTAAAAAGATAAATTCAAAAAGATATCTAGTCGGGTCTCCCAAAAAGGGAACCAAAAGAGGATTATTCGACGTCTACAAAGGCCCATTAAGAATAAAGACGGAAACAAAGTAAAGATACAGGAGGCGTTTTGGCATTGTGTTTTGAAACAGGTGCTGCTATAACCCCCGCCTTATCACGTGAATTAAATATGGCCATAGCCAGACCAAGTTAAAAAGAGCTGCATTATTGATTTGTAAACATGCTCTTTGTTCAGTCAAGTTCCCAAATGACGTATGAAAAGATACTGGAAAATACTAAAAGGATTTCAACTACTTCAAAGTTTATTTCCTCTTCATCGAATATTCACATATTTGTTCGTTCCATGAATAAGTTGAAAATAAAGTTTCTCTTCAAAAAACGCGTTTCACAAATTAAACAAAAGTTGCAACATGTTTCAACAATAATTAAGTTGGTTTCTTAAAAGCTCGAATGGCTATTATGTTGCACTAAACTATAGCTTGATACCTGTTTCTTTCATCGCAAAGCGATGGTTTGACGTTCGAAAATCCATTCGTTGAGAAGTTTCATGATCTGACTTGTGTTATTTCGATTGATTGAGACAGAGGCCAGTGAATTCAAAAGAAAAGGCGAGCTTCGAAAGCAAAACTATTCATTTGATTCAAACCTGTATGGAGGGAGGTTTGATTGATTTTTTCTAGGCGGTGAATTGTTTGTTGGTCGCTACCTCATGAACAAGTTTTGAAACATATCGACCGATTTGCTTCCTTTTGATGGCTTAACTTGTTTAACTGATTTTTATTAAAGCGAAATTAAATTGTAGGTAGGTCCCCAATTTCCCATTCTGATAGGTCAGTATTCATTTATTTTTAAATTAACTTCATTTTTTTTAAAATTTGAGAGCAAAAAACGCTCTTTGATTACGAAGTTAGTTGCAAAATTTGTCTCGGCTAAACCAGTTTTTGAGGCCCTGATAATCCACCCTTTTTGACTGGTAATTTTTAGGATGAAAAAAAAACATCAAAGGAGCATGCAATATAAGGCTTTCTCAACAAAAGAAGGGATGTTTTTCGAGTTGCTTTGTTGAAACCACTTAAAAAGTTGAGTATTTGAGTTCGTTAAAAAGCTTCTGAGAACTTGTTATATCCTTGTGCCTCAGAACTAGGGGATCAAATATCAATTGGCTATAATCTTTGAAATTCGACATCGACTTTTTAAGCCGTTCTTTTTTTCTTCTTTTAGTCTGCTGGCAGCAGCCTATGTCGGATAATGTTACTCGCATAAGTTTTTGATGTAAATTTGCATCAATTGTGGGAGGAAGCTGGCGCTGAAAAAGTTTTTTTTATCGTCTAAAACTTCACCAAAATCGCCAAAAAAATCTACCTTGCTCAAGCAGATTGGATATGTAAAAAAACGAGGCAGACCTACGCGAAAAATCAATTCATTTTTTTTCTAAAAAAACGTCTCCTGCTAAAAATTTGCATGCAGCGCCTTTAAATAGGATTATGCTTGTCGGTTCGAATAAGTGGCATAATCAAAATAAAGTACAGTCTCCTAATTATACTCACCTGGTACAAAATGATCTCCATTTCTATTGGCAGTAGTGTTTGCAGAGGAAACACCTTTCTTAATTTTATCGCAGAATTGCACAATTAATCTTCATTTGAGCTTGATTGACTGGTCCGAGATTACAACTAATAAATTGAATCAGTTCTTAAACAAATGGTCTTTAAGCTGTTATAGCTGAATGGTCGACCTTATTTCGCTGCTGCTTGCTTATATTTTCTACTATCTTTAGGAAAAGAAATGAAAAGATGTGTTTTTTTTTCGTTTCTTTCAGTTACAATCCGAAATAACGACAATACTATAATTATGGATCTGTATCTTTTACTTCAACAACCAAATTTTTCTGAAATATCGAAAGCAAAGTTTTTTTAGTTAAATTTTGCAAAAATAGCTATTTAGAACATTCTGTGGTACTTACCGCTCAATCATATATTTTTGTTAAAATATGATCTCTGAAACGAGACGTGAAGTTTCATATAAAACCATATGTAAAAAAATAAGGATGCCGAAAACCTCACTGGATTGAGGAAAAGAATATTTTTATCAGAATTACTACGATGCAATTATTTTGCACCGCCCGCAGGCATTTTCTTAACACGTCACATGCTCCGCGTGTTTGAGTCTTTTTGAAAACTTTCGAACAAAAAAAAATGCATTTTTTCGAAGCGTTTTGTATATCCACCCTTCAAAACTAGTACCTATTGGCGCCGAAATGGCCTTTGGAAAATACGCAGACCAAAATTGAGTATTTTTTGGGGGATAAAAAATATCGAAACCTATTTCAGTATTTGAGAAAAACAGGTCAGATTTTTTCCTTTTTCAGGCGAAAAATTTTCCCAGACTTTTTCAATCCAATACTGGGTTTTTACTACTTTCAATACTTTTACTGTTTTTCAATACTTTTACTAATACCTTGTTCTTATGGATAAATGACTAATTCAGTTTCTTCGCGCTAAAATAAAAAAACTCTTAGAAGCAAAAAAAAAATTTAAAAAATGAATTGATGGAATTCAAAGAAGCAACAGAAAGTACATGAAAGCACAAATAAGCAGTTTTTGAGATCGTCTACAAAAATTAATTGGTTGCTCGGAAATTGCATCACATGATCACTTCATATGACTCATGCTAGACTTAAAGTCAATTTTTTAAATTTTTTTACAACAGTGTTCTTTTTAATTAAGATTAATTAAAAGTAGCTTCGTCAAATGCACTTTAAAATGGGCGTCAGGAATATTTTTCAAGATTTCGATTGATTTTGGATTTATAGAGTCAGCAAATAACTGCCCTAATGATATTGATTTGAACGTTACTTTCACTGCTTTTGATTTAAGAAATAATTTTCCGGTGGTTGTAAACTGTCCTGCTTTTTGTGAAGCCATTTAGGAAATTGGAGTTGTAATGTTAGCGCTATTTAAGGACTAGACAAGACGACCGCCTCAAGAATTGAATATTGATTAACCCATAAATCAGAATTAAGTGTATTGGAAATAAAATATGGCAATTTAATCAAATTGAGGTCAATTTTTTCATCTATTGAAAAATTTACAATTTGAAACTGATCGTTTTAGAAAATATATTATACTACCGCTAAAAAGTTTCCAGCTACCTAATGTAAATGTAGTGAAATCAAAATCAATTCATAAATTGTTTTTTTTTAGTAGGAAGAATTTTACCTCTTAGAACTGTCCGCATTTTTGGTTTATGTACCTACACAAAATCAGCAGACACATGATAACCCGAAATTAATCGGTTTTTTCCTGCCTTTGTCAAGAATACTCGTTTTAAGTGACGCTCGCAATAAAAAGACTTAATAAAAAAAATCTCAGTTCGCAATATTTTTTTTCTGAAGCATTTGTTTTTTTTTAGTTCGGCTGCACTTTTTTTTCTGTTGCAGATGAGATAAATTGTGTTTGGTTTTCTGAGAAACACTTTTTGAAGACTTGTTTTATGCTTTATTAGGGCCTTGAGAGACAGCGGTGATTTAACCTGTTATATAAATCTCGAAGTTCATTGTAAATTTTCGAAAAAATAAAAAAAATTGTTTTCATGAGTTGATCAACCCTTTTGTTGTGTTGCAGATGAGATAGCGAGGATGATGTCGTCAGATCCTCTGCTCTCAAGAGAGTGGGTGGATGCCATGGAATGGGTACAAAACAAACAACAACAACAACAACAACAACAACAACATCAGCGAGAGAACGAACAACAACAGCAGCAGATGGAGACTAGAAAGCGCACAGGCGTGTCTCAGTTCTCGCCCTCTTTCGGAAAGCGGATGGCGTTCACACCCTCCTTCGGAAAAAGATACTCGTGGCCTTCTCTCTTCCAGGTGCGAACGGAAACTCAATATAATAAGTTGCAAACGTTGGAATCAAGACAGAATCAATTAAAAAGCGCAATCTGCCAATTTAGAACAAAGTTTGCATGCTGAATCAAATTTACGCAGCATTGTGGCGTAAATCTTATCAGTAAAAGTAGGTTTTACATGCAAAAAATTTGAAATAAATCATTTGGTCTTTTATGGTTTTTGTCTGTTCCCAATTTTCTATAAAGATAAGGTTATAATAAAACTTTTCTTAATTTTCTATAAACATAAAGCTATAATAAATATCCAAAAGATGGAACAGACAAAATAAATTAAAAACTGCAAATGATCTGTTTGGTAACTTTTTGCATGCAAGTGCTTGTTTTCCAGCTAAAATTGATGTCTCAAGGTTGCTTGAAAAATCAAAGTTCCTCACGAAATTGTACAAAACTGGCAAACTATTCTTTGCAGGGGCGTATTTAGGGGGTGTGGGGGTTTGCGGACGTTTTCCTCCCTCAGGGATTCGACCCCCTGCCGACACAGAGCTGTTGTCAATACCTGAAACCTTTAGCTATTATCAATTCAAAACTATTCGAGTTAGAGTTAATTAAATGTACTTTGGTCCTTTATAAGAAATCCGTTTTCAGTCGACCAACCCTAAAATGTTTCAAAAGACGACATTATATACTTGTTTTGAGGGGAAGCGCGCGCCAAAAAAAAACGCATTTTTTTGGTCAAAATTTTCCAAAAAAAGTCATGTTTTTTTTTCAAAATGTGCCCGCAGCGTAAAAAACTTTGTCCAAATACGGTGTTTATAGTTTTCTGGGAGCGCTGGGAAACTCAATTTTTTTAATCGACCCTTTCAGAAAAATATACTAAATACTAAATGGCAATTAGAAGTTCAAACTTCAAGAATAATCTTTTTTGAAGTATTTTACCAAAATATAAAAGTGATGCTTTCAGTATATGATTTGCATCAGAAAACTCGTACACAATTTTGGTCGTTTCCAATGCATTGCAAATGCGAGACGATCAAAGTTTTCGTGACTCTAGTTTTGAGCAAAACAAGGTTTTTGTCTCATGTGTTCGGTCACAAAAACATCCTAAAAACTGTGAGAAATTCAATTTCAAAAATCCATTTTTTTAATTTATGGGAGAATGCTACTCAAACCGCACCATATATGAAAAATCACTAATCATAGAACTTTCATGCAATTTTCCGTACTTATGCTAGCTTTTTTATATATGTGAAAATTGTATGGTTAGCTTTTTTGATCAACCCAGGATGAGCAATTTTAGATTATTCGACTTCGATCAACTTAGTTAACCAATTAAAAGGCCCGGGTTGACCAAAACTTCTTATCATTTAATTTTCATATATGAGAAACTTCTTGTCATACCATTTCACAGAATTCCATATGTACGAAAATTATATGAAATCTCTATGATAAGCCTTTTTCTATAAACGAAAAACTTGATTTTTTGTTTCTAAATTTGATTTCTGAAAACTTTTGGGTTGTGCTTGGAACCGAACACAAGTGACAAAGACCTTGGTTTACTCAAAGCACCAAAGGTTGGACGGTCTTGCCTTTACAATGCATAGAAAACGACCTGAATTGTCTTATAGCTGTCGTTCACAAATCATATAAGGAAAGTAACAAACTTTTTTAGTTTGGCAAATTTTTTCAAAGATGATTAATTTAAAAATTTGGTTTTTTAAATTACCAGACAATAATCAAGGGTTACATAAACACGCCATACAAAAGAAATAGGAGTTTTCAGCGTTTTTGAAAAAAAAATAACTTTAGTGTATCCAGGACTACGTTATGCACACAAAAATTTAAATGTTGCATGCAAAAAAAAATTTTTGGAAAATGTTTCTTTGCTAACAAAATTCAATTTGCGGTTGAAAAAAAAACAAAAAAATTTTTGAGGCAACTTCAAAATTACTTTCAAAAAATTTTGTTGACCATCAAAAAATGCTAGTCATACAATTTCCATATATGGGAATAGTATGATAATCCTTTTTTTTCAAAAAACAAAAACCTCGTGTATGAAAAGTGTATGAAAATTGTATGACAAGCATTTTTCCACACACCAATCCGGATTATCAACAAGTTGGCTTAAAGTAAATTCAGAACACATTCATTTCGGACAATGAAATGATATCAAAGCTAAAGTTTAATTTACAAACTTACGTACACTTGCATTTTTTTAGATGAGGTAAGTAAGTATTTAAATAATTTCTGACATCAGCGAAAGAACGAAGTATAAAATTCGCTCAAGTTAGCGGTTTAACCACTTTATCAAACTTTACAAATCGTCGTTTTTTTTTACCCGCTTAGGTTTTGTAGTTCTCAAAACTGTTTTTTTTTATGATTTGAGTTGAAGACTTCTTTCTTAATTTGAGAAAAAAAACAACTTTGAAAATGTAGCATCAATTTATACACATTTTCGTTCGCAGATTTTTTCTGTAGTTAATCTTTCTAAAAATGCATTCTACTTTTCAAAACAATGCTAGCTTTTATTTCCTAACTTTTTTCGAACATAACCAAGGTCGTTAGACCAGTATAAATATATGTAACTTTGATTAGAGGCTTGCCATTATCCGGTCAGATGACAGACTTATTGGTTTTATTAGTTTAGACTTTCGCTGCCTTCGATGTTTTTCTTTATATAATAGTTTCTTTTAGGTCAAATTTCGAAAGCTCACCGATTTTCTCAAAAATTCTATTTTCAAAAATGTGGAAATCATGGCATCTGTTTCAGAGCCCCATTTCACTAAGATCCTCAATGGGGGAGGAGGGATCTCTTAGACAGAGGAAAGAGTTCTACCCCTCATTCGGAAAACGAGCCTTGGTCAACTACATGGACAAACAAGCCGACCCGTTTCCTTTCATGAATCAATAGTCACAATATCGTTCTTCGCAACAGACAACAAAAACAACAAAAAGGCTACCTCGGGGTTGGATGTCGATACGAATGATGTTAAATTTCAGATGTAAAATACCATGCTGTTTATTTGATGAAAAATTAAATTGATATCATGCGCGAACTGAATATGAAATGTGTTCAACAATCTTTCTTTGGTTCACGTTTAGGAATGTTGTGGTGGTGTAAAAAGCAAAGCAAACTGGCCGTTTTTTCTCTTATACTCCCATATCGTGAAATTTTCGGTTGTCTATTTTTTTTTCAAAAATGGATAAAATATTCCATCAAAACTGGAATATTCAATATGCAATGGCTACTATTCAACAGAGGCGACTGGTAACAGTACGAAAAAGTTAAGGAAAACTGCTCGTATCAATACAAAGCCCTGAATGTTCCGACTTGTTTTTTATTTAGTGCTTTTTGGGAAATGTTTGCGGATTCCGCAGCAAGGACGCTCCCTTTGCGCTTCGTTTGTTCTTTCATTATCTTTCATCGTTCGGACAAAACTTTTACATGTTTGAGGACTTGTTCTTGAAATCCAAGAACATACAGACACAGAATTGTGCGCCTATCCAGTGCACAGTTTGGCCTTCTACTGACCAGTTTCGAGTTTTTGTTTGAAAGTTTTGCGTTTCGCCCATCTCCTCTAAGGCATAGGCAGTAGTTTTTTGAGAATACCCGGGTTGACCGCTATAAACAAAAAACGCTAATCATACAGTTCCATACAATTTTTCTATGAAAAAAAAACTAATCATACAGTCCCCATGCTATGGTAACAGTATGACTATCATTTTTTTGAAGAAAAAAAACCAAAAAACTATTTGTATTGAGAAAACAAAAAAAAATAAGTTGATTATAAAGCTAATAAAAATAGTCAGCTGTCATACGTTAATTTCTAACCTCGCTGAAATAGAAAAATTTTTTTAAAAAAATTCAAGTTAGTTATGAAGCTCAGAGTTGTAGTCAGTGGTCAAAAAATAATCTCCAAGCTTGTTGAAATAGACCAAAAAAAACTTCCCAATTTTTTTAAAATGCTGGTCACAGAGTTTCCATATGTTTTTGTGTTTGTCAGAGAACTAGGTGAAAAGATATATATAGAGGTGAGCGGAGGTGTTTGGATGTTTGGAAAAATAAAGTTGGCTTAAACCTTTATAACAGTAACAGGGGAATTGGTTCAAAACTTTGAATGACAGCATCAAGAGGATTAAGCAGAAGATTTGGGACAAGTCTTGAAATGCAAACGCAGTTCATTCCAAATCACGTCAAAATCAAAGAACATGTTAACAAAAAGGCGTTAAGTTAAAATCAGCTCAATTTGCAAAAAATGCGTTTCAAATTTCAGTTTTTTGGCGATTTGTCCGGATAATTTAAATCAAAACTGTACACAATAAAGAATAAAGTTCATCGATTACCGAGAATAGCGAACTCACAAAAATGCAAAGTTCCGGTAAATGCATTTAAAAAAGTTTTCGGCAAGACTGGACCTCATAATTGACTGAGATGGGACCAATGCGGTATCTCATTGACTAGTTTCAGATAAAAAACACCGTATGCTTGTTACTTTTTTTGGGCGAATACTTTCATGCAACTCTATAGTGTAATACTGATCTTAATCTCATTCTTAATATTTTCGCCTCAATAGATCTGTAAGAAACACTGATAGACATAGGTGAAGTTCAAAACTAACTTCATTCTAACAAGGGATAGTCAAAACTGTACGGTTGAAGATTAAATTCAACTTCTTTCTAGTTCGCATAAATATGACACTGAACTAGAGGTCAGCAAATAGCAGACTAGACAGACCTAGACTGACTGACAGGCAGGTACCAAATTCACACTTAGTCAAAATATGAGAACTCTAAAGAATATAAATCATAACTTAATTGATTGACATCTAAATATGTAGCCCCTCACATTTCCGTACGGATGTAAAACTTAAATACATGATAATTTAAATGTGATATAATAAGTTGTGACCTTCTAATCTGCCGCCGTAACTAACACATCAGAATTTTAACTTTGAGTTTTTATGCTTATGGCCATCCCTCTCCCTGGGTTATGAGTTTTAAGTTTTACTTGTTTCCTTCCCCTAGATATTTCCACTTCTTCTCCACCCCCTTGGATATTGTCTATCATAACTCCGCCCATTTTGTCGACTGGCTTCCTTCTTCTCGTGCTCTTTCGTGTTCCCGAGCTTTCGCTTTGGCTTACTGATTCTCCTTCTCCCTCTTGGCTGCTGTTTGTAAGACACTCCTTTGCAACTAACGCCGGTCTCTCCTGGTTCAGTTTTCCTCGTTTTACTTTTGTAGTTTTAGTTCTCACTCCCGTTCCCGTTCCGTTCTCCTCCTGAGTTGTTCTGCCACTTATTCCTTGTCCCGCCGCAATTGCCTCGTGCCTTGCCAAAATCTCGACTGGTAGTCGTGCTGGTACCGTCTTTAATGGTTGGTGGCCCTCACTGTCCGAGCTTTCGAATTGATATGCTGCTATAGGTGGTGGCTGTTTTGCTTTAGACCGCTTTGACTTTGGATTTTTTATTGCCCCTTTTTTCGCACTTGCAAGTTTTTCTTTGAGTGTGGCCGGCTTTCGTTTCTTTTGGCAGAGTCTTCTTCGGTTTTACTGCCAGGGCATTTTTCCTAAGCACAGACCCGTTTTTCAGTTTGATGGTATGTTTAGACTCGGAGATTACATTAGATTTTAAGAGTTTATACCGGTTTAAGGTTCGGCCGGTAGTAAGCTGGTAGAGGTCTCCTGTACTGCCACTCCCTTGGATTGTTGGCTCAGTCCCCGATTCGTTCCCTTGGCCAGTCTCCAGTAGTTGGTCGCTATCGAGAATTGAAGGTGCATTTCTTAACGCCGGAGCGTACACAAGGTCAGATCTGTCCTCCCAGTTTGCGTGATGGGGAAATGCGATCGTGATCACTTCGGGGTCATTTTCGTCTAAACACAAACATTTTTGTTTTAAGACGTTCTCCAAGGTTAGGTTTTTCAGACTCGATTTCTTCGTAAGGTTACGTAAGACGGTGTTCGCCTCCCGGCCATGGTGTGCTTCAAAAGGTCTCAGCTTAGTCGTTGCATTTTTGGAAAACCATAGCGCGCCTAACGCTTTATCGACCATACATTCTAGAGATTTATGATCCTTTTCGGATGCATAGGTGAGAACCTATCGTTTTTTCCACTGAACCCGTGCCCCGGTGATCATTCACTGGGGAGTAAACTAACTCGATGCCTTCGCTATTACAGAAGCTTTTAATTATATTAGATGTGAAACATGATCCCTGATCGACGTGAATTTTCCGAGGTACTCCATACTCCATGTTGAGTAATGTATTTATCAAGAAATTTTAAAACTTTATCAGAACTATTGGTGGTAGTAACCATCGCTGATAGCCACCTTGAGAAACGGTCTGTAGCAACTAAGATATATTTCCTACTTTCGTTTAAATAGCTTATTGGCCCCCAAACTCCAACTGTAGACATTCATTTGGTTCCATAAGTCCCGCGCTGCCTCAAACATATTTCTCTTCCCATGGTGGAAGAAGTGAATCCTCGTCTCGATCGGGACTTATAGTGGTAGAGAAAGGACTAGCCGTCCGTCTAACCACACGCAGTCATCTTTCAGTGACAGGTCATTGGCATATTGGGCCCTGTACTTCCGCACTTAACTCCTTGAGGTTGGTTATCTTCTGCAGTGCCTCTTTTACTCTGAGTAAATTGATGTCCGCCGGTAAGTTGGAAGCAATAAATTCCAAGTTAATTAATTCCGGTAACGCTGTGGATTTCCTGATGACTTTACAATCGCGCGGAATAATGGACATAAATCGTTGATTAGGGTTAATAGTGGGAAATAGTTCGCCTAGAAATTTTGAAGAAATGGAAAGTACTGTGTTAATTTTTGAATCCCGTGTGTTTTTTGTAATGGCTTCAGTTTCTGTGTTTATAACAGCAATTTTTTTGAAACTCATAAGATTTTCGTCTAATCTAATTGGAGAGTTAATTTTAGAATCTATTTCTATAACTGGAACAGAACAATCTGAGCTATCGTCCATTTTGCCTGGTTTTTGTAAATTAGGCTGTTTGAACCGTCTTCCAAGAGAATGGTATATAGAGCGTACTGAATGTCCCTTGGATTTCGTTGATGTATGCGATATGCAAATTGATCGTTTCCTATTGGTCGGTGTCTTCAAGCATGACGTTCTGCCCTCAACCGTCGTTGTTCGTAAGCATGTTTTCGGTTTTTGATTCTCATTGGACGAAAACTGTCTAGACTGTTTAGAACCAGTTCCTTTTGTTTCTATATTATTTCGTTTACCAAGGGATTTAGGATTGTTTGTGAAACCAAGGGATTTTCTAATTGAAACTAGTTTTGCGACGGTGAATAATTTATCGTACTGACTTATAGGTTTTGGGGGTTCGTTAGGGTGTCTTGACAAATAATCCGCGAGTCCGATCTTTGCTTCTGTTTTATGTTCTATGACAAAGTCAAACTGAATGAGTCTATCCAGCCATCGTGTTAATCTTGAGAATAGAGTTTTGTTTTTCTTATTATTCCCATTGAGTAATGAAATTAGAGCTTTATGATCTGTTATATCAGTAAGAGGTCTTCCTGGGATGTAGTTTCTGAAGTATTTGGCCCGCCATACAACTGCCAACATTTCGAGCTCGCTAGTGGAGTATTCTTTCTCGGCTGCGTTTAAAAATCGTAAGGCAAAAGAGATTGGGCGCCACCCTTCTGTACCCAATTGCTCCAAAACTGCTCCAAGACCATTGTGACTTGCATCACAAACAACCCTTATGTCTTTGTGAATGTCGAAGTGTTTTAATTCGACAATGTTTGCTACCCCCAATTTAATGTTTTGAAAGGCATTTTCGTACTCCGCGGTCCAGTTATAATCAATCTTCTTGCTGAGGAGCGGCCATAGGGGAGCTGACATTTCTGCTATAGCCGGGAAGCATTTATTACTGTTACTGGTTTAGGAGCCGCTAATGCATCAAACGGCGACGTCTTACTCTTCAGAGACGTTACTCCCGTTTCTGTTATATGATGGCCGAGCCACTCGCATTCTCGCTTTGCGAACTCGCACTTAGGTAGTTTTAGCAAGATGTTTTCGCGATTCAGTTTTTAAGAATCTTTTCAACCAAGG